GAATGTTTGTCCACCCAAACAGTTACCTGTGGTCTGTAACAGAGGAGTGTGACTAGGGTCGTCACTACGCGTGATCTTAAATTCGCTTCCTCTGACTAACCAAAATGCTGGTGAGATCATGTCAGTGTTTCTAAAGGGACTCTCTGTCCTTCCAGTGGAAACTTGACGGTCGTACCACCAATGGCCAGTGTCAGCCATCCAGTTCTTGACGTCATTATTTGAAAAGCGGGCAATAAGAGTCCAGCCTCTACCGTCTGTTGTCAATTCGCAGTAGACCTGCAGTAAAAAAAAAAAATGAGTGCTTCACTGATACCGAACCGTGAAAAAAGGCATTGTTTCATGTCTTAAAAATATATGTTTTAACAATTTAAATACTTTGTTACAAGAACATTAAAAAAGATGGTAAGTCTTGAGCTCGGTGAAGAAATAGAGAAACATCTTTTTTCGTCTTGTCACAAGCGTGGGAAAAGGAAAATTTCTGAGTCCCCATGAGGAATCGAACCTCAGACGTTCGGATCCCACGCTCCGATGCTCAACCAGAGACACTTTGATCAGCAAGGCCTATTAAGAAGTTCCTATATGACATGCGTTCTGCAGACCCCTAGGGTCATCAATGTCTTGAGCGTGATGTTTTTTGAACTTCGTAATGGGCCTTACTCACCATAGAGTCTCTGTTGCTCTCTGTCTCTTTGCATCATAGTTCTCGTCTGAAAGTTTCCAGTTGTTGCGTGAATGCAGCCTTGAATCTTTATTTTAGTTGGAGATTTAACTATTCTTATCAAGGTTGCTGACCGGCATGGCTACATTGCCGTTATTTAGGGGAGGAATATATATTACATTTTTCTACGATTTAGACTTACAGGAAAGGCTTGTTGAGTGTTTTTATCGCATACGTGGTACATCGCGGCAGTTTCGCGAGAGGGTCCGTGAAAACAAGAGGAAGAGTTCACATTGTGCTTCATTGGGTAACTTTTGACCTTTTTATGTTCGTGGAGCGATTTTGTTGTTGTTGCAAAATAATTTGTTTAAAAAGGGTTGATATGTAACGGCCAGGTCTAAGATAATTCAACATTAGCCAACATCAAGACGCCTACGAGGTACTTCAAAGTGCCAAAGAGAAACCAGGTTAGATGAGAATCTGACCATGCGCGAGAAACCTTTTTTAGCCATGTCAACGAAATGCGTAAAGCATTCTTAGAAAACGGTCTCCACTCTCTTTGCATCATAGTTCTTACTTGGAAGTTTCCAGTTACTGCATGAATACAGCCTTGAACCGTTATTTCAGTTGAAGATTTAACTTTTCTAATCAAGTTTGCTGACTGGCTCGGCTGCATTGCCATTATTTTAAGAGAGGAATACGTACTATATTTAATACGGTTCAGACTTACAGAAAAGGCTGGTTGAGTGTTTTTAGCTCGTAGGTAGTACATCCCATCAGTTTTGCGAGAAGGTCCATGCTGAATAAGGTCACAAGAACTATCTAGAGACGGAACACAAAATTTCAAGAACTTTCAAGTCAAACTGTTTAAATACATTTGTACACAGCTTGCGTTTTTTGATTAAAATTAAAAAGACTGCGCTTATCATTTTAAGACTTTTGCCAAACATTTTCTTGTCTCGTTTGTAATAAAAAAAAAAGGTGAAAAAGACGTAGGGAAGAAATGTGTTTTGGATGTACAGTTGAAAAGTAATAAAAGCAATAACTGTTATAATACCAATTAATTTCGTAGCAATCACCGTGGTTACTGTTTCCGTTAACCCAAAGCTGTTTGTGGCTCGACAGATGTAGTCTTCTTCACCATGTGCCTTTGCAGTATTTACTGCGAGACATCCGTCTTCCTGGAAAAATGGAGAGAGCAAAGTGGACCTTTGATGCCTAGTCCATTCAACTTGAGGACGAGGGAAGCCTGTGGCCACGCAGCAGAGGGTTACAGTTATTCCTTGTTCTACAACGACCCTCGGTGGAGGTTTGTTAGTAAACTGTGGTACCTCTAAACAAAAAGAAGATCATCAAGTTAACAAACAAAATAAGAGACACAAATAATCTCAGATATATGCAGTTTGCGTACGTTTTTGAAAATTGAAAATTTTGTCGCGTGCAGATTATCAATTTGAAGGAAAAGCAATAGGAAAAAGTAAACGTCTCTGGTGCAAAAAGGATTACACTCAGTATTATTACAAGTTCATTTTAATTTCACTTTCCTCTAATAGATGATAAAATCACATGAAAAATGAAATAAAAATATAATTTAGGAATAATGTTTTTGTCGTAAGGATCAGATTGGGTAGTAGTTTTCGATTGAGACATTTTTTACATTCCCTTCAGTTTTATTCTTTGTCTTGCGCGTCAGGAAAGGTGACTCAGGCTATGACACATGACTTGAGAGTAGTAGACGCTGACTCCTTCAATTTTCGAATGCAAGGTTGGAAAGTACTTAAAGTTAAAGATACTACCTTTTACGAGTAAACTGCCTGCGATTCTGAAAATTCCTAGACCGGTATGAGCTGCACACATATACGACCCCACATGTGACCTTTGAACGCTGTTGATTCGAAGCGCACCGTCTTTCACTGTAGTGTCAGATAGAGTACCTCCAAGCTTACTCCATGTTATTTTGGACGACGTCTGGCCTTGAACCCAACAGAAGAAT